ATACTAAGCATGAAGAAAGCTCTCAAGTCTAACCCAATTTTATATCTAAGGAACTAGAAAAATGAGCAAACTAAACATAAGCTTGCAGAAGGGAGGAAATAATAAGAAAGATTAGAGCAGAGAGAAATTAACTAGAGAACAGAAAAACAGGAGCAACAAAACCAAAGCTGCTGCTTTGAAAAGATCAACAACATTGACCAACGATTAGCTAGACTGACAACAATAAAAGAGAGGACCCAAATAACTCAGAAATTAAAGTGGGGACACATTACTACCAATCTTTCAGAAATAAAAAGAACTATAAGAGAAAATAATGGACAGTTAAACTGTAGGCCAATTGCTCTTATGAATACAAATACAAAAATTCTTAACAAAAATATTAGCAAACCAAATCTAATAGCATATTAAAAAGCTTATATACCATGACAAAGTGAGATTTATCCCAGGAATGCAAAGGTGGTTCAAGATTAGAAAATCAATCAACATAATTGTCTGGTACCTAGTATCACTCTGACAGGAATATACCACCAATGGGACGGCTTGAACAAACAGGAGTTTATTCTTACAATTTGGAGGCTTTAAGTCCAAGTTCAAGTGCCAGGTTCTGGGGGCTGTGTGAAAGCCCCTTGACCTTGGGCTTCAGCTCTGCCTCTTGCTGCTGGCCCACAGAAGCTAGAGACAACTCTTTACTCAGGCAGCTACTGGCTGCTAAAGGCTAACAAGCCCAAGGTCAACAAAATAGCACAGCCCCGATGTTACCAAATCACATGGCAGGCCATCAATTCAAGTCCACCGAAAGTCCCAAGGTTGGCAAAGCATGGCAGGCTGCTGAACAATGACACGGCTACACACAGGGTTCAAGGGTGCCATAAACTACTGACCATTCCCAAAGCTATTTCTTACATATGGGAAGCATACCCAAAGGCAGCTACTCAGCTGCTCCCAGTACATTTCACCATAGAGTTGATTACCAGTCTCATCATGGGGAATACTACTACATCCAGCTGCCTAGCTACTCAACCAGGTGCAGTCAAGTAGACACACAAAGGTAACCACCACAATAATATATCTCATTAATAGAATAAAAAGGAAAGCACACATGATTATCTCAATTAACACAGAAAAAGCACTCACAAAATCTCAGAAAATTAGGAATAAACGAGAACTTCCCCAAAAGAATAAAAAAGACATTTATGAAAAACCCAGAGTTACCACAATATTCAATGGTGAAAGACTAAAAGTACTTTCCTTAAGATCAGGGGGAAAAAAAAAAGGATGCTCCTTATCATAACTGCTATTTGACAATGTACTAGAAATTCTTGCCAGAGCAATTAAGAAAAAAACCTGAAAAGAATCCAAATTGTAAAGGCAGAAGTAAAGCTGTCTCTATTTGCATATTAAGGAGCTCTGGTGAAACAATGGTTAAAGCATTGTATAAGGTGAGCAGTTTGAAACCATCAGCAAGGAAGAAAGATGAGACAGTCTGCTTCTATAAAGATTTACAGCCTTGGAAACCCTATGGGGCAATTCTAATCTATCCCATAGGGTTGCTAATCGGAATCAACTCAATGGCAGTGGGTTTGGGTTATCTGCATATGACAGGATCCTTTATGTAGAAAATACCAGAAGGAATACATGCACACACCCAAACACACCCTACTGGAACTAATAAAGAAGCACAGTGCCTAAGGCATTTGACTGCTAACCAGAAGGCTGGTGATTCAAAGCCACCAGCCACTCCTTGGAAGGAAGACTTAGCAATCTACTTCTGTAGAGATACTGCCTCCAAAATACAAGGAGGGATTTATGAGGAATTTATCTATGAGTCGGGACTGACTTGATGGCAATGAGTTTGGTTTTAGTGGTGTAGTGGTTAAAGCATCTGGCTGCCAACCAGAAGGTCAGTGGTTGGAACCCACAATTTGCTCCATGGAAGAAAGATTGGGCAGTATGCTTCCATAAAGATTTACAGCTTTGGAAACCCAATGGGGTTCTTCATGAGTTGCAATTGAGTTGATGGCAGTGAGTTTGGTTTTGGTTTGAGAACTAATAAATGAATTTAGCAAGGTTGCAGGGTACAAGATCAACATACAAAATTCAGTTGTGTTTCTGTATCTCATCAATGAGCAACCCAAAAAAAGAAATGAAGAAATTATTTCATTTATAACTACATCCAAACGAATAAAATACCTCAGAATAAATTTAACCAAGGAGGTGAAAGATTGGTACACTGAAAAGTATAAAACACAGTTGAAAAAAATTAAAGACCTAAGTTTAAGTCGAAAGACATTCTGTATTTGTGGGTTGGAAGACTTATTACCTAAGTGGTCTACAGATTCAAAGCAATCTCTATCAAAAGTCCAATTGTCTTTCTGTAAAAATGAAAAGCCAATCTATAAGTTCATATGCAATTGCAAGGGGCCCCAAAATAAAGTTGAGAACTTGGACTTCTTATTCCAAAAGTTGAAATGAACTACTACACAGCTATAATAATCACATTAGTGTGTTACTGGCAAAAGGACAGACACATATATCAATTGAAATAGAACTGAGATTCCAGAAATTGTAATAGGGGAAAAGAGACAACAGATCCAAACAGGTTCAATACAAACACTTTTATTAAGCCTTAGACAAGACAAAGACAAAAGGATGAGGTAAATCATTAGCATATACACTGTACAGAAAGCTAAATGGAGTCCACTGAGTCACAGCCATGGGTCCAATCGTATATAATCGAAAACAAAGGGAATCATTACAAAATTACAATCAGTGGCAGACTGATTCATCAGTCATGGGTGGGACTACAGAAGTAGGGAAAGGACCATACATACATAATTGAAAATAAAAAAGGGTTACAGGATTGGTTGTGGGGCTTGACTATCTGGCTAGGTGGTGGTCCAGATATGACTCACGACCATGGGCCTAAGACATAGCCACAAGATGACTACAAGACAATACCAAGACCCAAACCTTACTTTAAATTAAATATGGACTTAACTTAAAAACTTAACTGCCCTCCAGTTGGATGCGACTCATAGTGACCCTTCCTTGGGTTTCCCAGGCGGTATCACTACTGAAGTAGATTGCCCAACCCCCCAGGCAAATTCTCTATTTCTTTATGTGAGCATAATCTACTTTCAACCACACTGTCCCTGAGGGCAAACTGCCCCTTCCACGGTTTGCCCTAGAATTTATCTATGCACAGTCACAATGTTGGTAGGTTTAAGGCCAGAAAGAACTCAACTGGTGTCTGAACTCTCAAAATGGAGTTAGAGCTCCCATGGTACTATAGCCATGCACAAAACAAAGTGCTTTAGAATTTAAGCTCTAATGTAAAACAAACCCATAATATATCCATGGCCAAATGCTATTCTTCAGCAAGGGTGTCAAGATCATTTGATGGGGGAAAAAATAATCCTGTCAACAAAAAGTGCCAGGACAACTGAGTATTCATGCAGAAGAATGAAGTTTGACTCCTACTTCACATCATATACAAAAATTAACTCAAAATGGACCGCAGACCTAAATTTAAGAGCTAAAGCCATAAAACTCTTAGAAGAAAACACCTTGGATTTGGCAATGGTTTCTCACGAGCAACAAAAGAAAAAATAGATAAACTGAACTTACTAAAATTAAGAACTTTTACAAAGTACATTATTTAAAAACTGAAGAGACAAATTACTGAATGGGAGAAGACATTTTGGAACCATAAGGGTTTAACATTTAGAATATATAAAGAACTTCAACAACAAAAAGACAAATAACCCAAAGAATAACTAAAGGACTCGTGTAGCCATTTCACTAAAAAAAGATACACAAATGGCCAACAATCACAAGAAAAAAATGCTCAATGTCAGCAGTCATTAGGAAATGTGAATCAAAACTACAATGAGGTATATCATCCTCAATAAGATAGTTATTAATAGAAAACAACAAGTGTTGGTGAGGATGTGAAGAGACTAGAACCACCATCCATTGTTGGTGGGATTGTAAACTGGTGTAGCAGTGAAAAACATTTTGGCAGTTCCGCAAAAAGTTAATCCTACGGGAAAGTTATATTCTGTAACATGTAGGGTCACTATGAGTCAAAATTGACTTGATGACACCTAACAACAACATTAGGAACTCTGCGGGGGGGGGTACTGCCTAAGGCACTTGACTGCTAATCAGAAGGCTGGTGGTTCAAACCCACCAGCCTCTTCTCGGAAGGAAGGTTGGGCAATCTACTTCCATAGTGATACTGCCTCCATGGCAGTGTGGACAACACTGGGAGCTCTGGTAGCATAGTATCTAAGGCATCTGACTGCTAACCAGAAGAGTGGTGGTCCAAACCCACCAGTCACTCCTCAGAAGGAAGAATGGGCAACCTACTTCCATAGAGATACTGCCTTGGAAACCCAAGGAGGGGCTGCTAAGAGTCAAAATGACTTGATGGCAGTGAGTTTTTTTTTTTTTTTAACAACATAAAAAAGAAAGAAAAGTACTTGTATGTGGAACAGCATGGATGAACCTTGAAAATACTATGCTAAATGGAAGAAGCCAGACATGAAAGACCACATAATGTATGATTCTATTTATATGAAATATCCAGAATAGGTAAATTCATTACAGACAACAGACTGGGATCACCACAAGCTACAGTAAGGGGAATGGTAAACAACTACCTAATGGATATGGGGTTACATTTTGGGGTAGTGAAAATGTTTAATAATTAGAGGTGGTAACTGCACAACACTCTAAATGTGCTGTCACTGAACTGTTCACTTTAAAATGGTTAACTCTGTTATGAGAATTTCACCTTTTTCTTTAAAAAAAAAAAAAAGATAAAACATTCCTTCACAGCAGTAATTTTGGTAATCTGAACATACGCTATTAAACTCCTGGTCTTCAGAATTTCCTGACAGTGTTAGAAGCTGGTTCAATCCTATTTAAGTAAGGATCTTTCAAAAAATTCCATCATTATTAATTTTCTCAACAAAATCATTTTTATTTAGAATGAACTAATAGGAGTGTCCAACCTTTAGTGCTTCAGTGGCCTTGCGAAGTTCCTTAATTACCGATGACAGAGCTTCTGGGTTAATTCCTTGCTCGCAAAGCCGTACACAAATAGACAGAGTTTCCATATCTAAGCCAGTATTCAGAATTCTTGAAATCTCAAGCAGAACTAAAAAAAAAAAAAGGAAAGAGGAAACTTAAAAAAAAAAGAAAGAAAAAAAAGCTTACAACGTTTAACAATATATACTGTTTTTAATCAATATATTACTGTGTAATTCAAGGAACTAGCATAATAGCAGATCATCCCTAGATTTGGAAGCTGGAATGCAATACTGTCTTGCCCTCATTTAAATCTAGAAACTTAAAAATAAATTTACAATCTCCCTCCACATAACTGCTGTTAACATCCTGGTGTAAACTCTGTTGTTGTTGTTATGTGCCGTCGAGTCGGAAGTAGATTGCCCCATCTTCCTTCCGAGGTGTATATTCTATCACTCAATTAACGCCTATCTAAATTTATCCTTTATAATCAGGATTATTCTAAACATTTCCCCATTATATCTAATATTGTTATTATATTTCATTTAAGAAGTTTGTTAGCATTCCACTTTAAGGAAATACTATATTTTACTTAAGTACTATACTAAGAAGGTTGTTTTCATGTTTCCCCCATAAAAATAATATTGTGATAAGTAATTTATGCCTACTGAATCTAATGAATAAAAATGAGAGTTTACATTTTTCAATCTTATTTTCAAAGCAATCATCTTAATGTAGTTTATGAAGTAGTCTCAACATGGAGGGTTTGAGAAGCTCTAGTTTAGAGAACGGAGGAGTTCTGGTAGTGTAGTGCCTAAAGCACTTGACTGCTAACCAGAAGGCTGGTGGTTCAAACCCACCAGCCACTCCTTGGAAGGAAGATGGAGCAATCTACTTCCATAGTGATATTGCCTCGGTAACCCAAGGAGGGGTCGCTATGAGTTGGGTCCGACTGGACGGCACATAACAACAACAACAGTACAGAGAACACAGGTTTCCAAAAGCCATTTTCCAGGAACCCTACTTATACAGAATGTAAACACATCATCTTCACTTAACTTTTTTATGTTGGTTCTTTCTTTTTTTTTTTTCAGTTTTATTGTGGTGAAAACATACACAAGACATTTGCCAACAAAACAACTTCCCCATTTACACCTCAGGGACACTGATTACATTTTTCATGTTGTGCCACAATTATTGGTATTTTTAACCACCGTTAGCATAAATTCAATGCCCCGTAAACAAAAGCGTCCCTTCCCCCTCCCTCCTACCCCTGGTAACTACTAATGATCTTTATACGTATATATATGTGTGTATACACACACACAAAAACTATCTAGGAATTTCTTTCCACCAAACCCACGAGCCACTCAGCAGAAGGAAGACTGGGCAATCTACTTCCGTAGAGATACTGCCTGTAGAGATATTGCCTCAGAAAACCAAGGAGGGGTCACTACGAATCAGAAACGACTCCATAGTGAGTTTGGAGTTTGGTCTCATCCCTTCTATCTATAAACCTGTCCTTGGCTTTTTACAATAGTGGACTAATAAAATATTTGTCCTTCTGTGATTGATGTATTTCACTAAGCATGTCCTCCAAGTTCATCCACATTATTTGGTGTTTTGCAGATTACACGTTATTCTTTAATGTTGCATAATATGCTATTGTGTGTAAGTACCAGAGTTTGGTTATCTGTTCCTCCACTTATGGGCACTTAGGTTGTTTCTATCTCTTCACTATTGTGCATAGTGCTGCAATGAACATGGATGGCATATATCTATTTGTGTCCTGGCTCTTCCTTCTTTAGGATATATACCTAGTAATGGGATTGCTGGATCAAATGGTATTTCTATTTCCAACTTTTTAAGAAATTGCCATACTGATTTCCACAGTGGTTACATCATTTTAAGGAGCTCTGGAGGCATGGTACCTAAGGCATTTGACTGCTAACCATAAGTTGGTGGTTCAAACCCACCAGCTGCTCCATGGAAAGAAGATGGAGCAATCCACTTCCATGAAGATTTACCACCTTGGAAACCCAAAGGGGTCGCTTTGAGTCAGAATCAATTTGATGACAATGAGTTTGGTTTGTTTTTTGGTTTTGTATCTTTCACAGTCTGATATGCTGGTTGTGTTTTAAATTATGTCAACTGTCAACTTGTTATTTATTGTTTCTGTACCATTTTCCTTTGGGATCTAGAGCTAATTAGTCCCACTATTGAAATAAGACTCTTTTGAGTACTCTATACAATGTCCCATGAATTATGAGGTTTTCCATTCTGACTGGTGCATACAAGCACTGTTCTTACTGCTGTGTGTGTGTAGGTGCTGTGTAGTAAATTACATCGTTGCTGTTGTTGTTATGTGCCATTGAGTCGGACCCGATTCATAGCGACCCCTCCTTGGGTTTCCGAGGCAGTACCACTACAGAAGTAGATTGCCCCATCTTCCTTCCAAGGAGTGGCTGCTGGGTTTGAATCACCAGCCTTCTGGTTAGCAGTCAAGTGCCTTAGCCACTATGCTACCTAGTGTGGCTTTTCTAGCCATAAGTGTTTGTAAACTCCATGGTGGAATTTGCTGTGAGCAACAACTCCGGATTGTTAATGTTAGCCACCTGCAGTACTTCTGTTGCCAGTGGCAGGAAGCAATCTACTGGGCAGTCCCCTCCCCACCTTCTCTTTCTCACAGGTGTATAGAATTCTGATGTTCGGATTAGTTAGTTTGACTACTCTGCTAGGCTCAAAAGGAGCCCTCATAGAGGCAGAAAACATCTCTCACTACCAGCTGGGAGATGTGAGAGACACACATCGGTGAAAGACAGACCAAGACAAAAAGAGAAAATAAAAAGGTAAAAATATAAAATATCTAGGAATAAACCTAACCAGAGACAAAAAAGACCTCTACGGAGAAAACTATAAAACACTGCAACAAGAGACAACAAGGGTACTACATAAATGGAAGAACCTACCTTGTTCATGGATAGGCAGACTAAATAAACGTTGTGAAAATGTCAATACTACCTAAAGCAATCTATACATTTAACGCAATCCCGATCCAGATTTCAACAAAATTTTTAAGGACGTGGAAAAACTAATTACTATTTTCATATGGAAAAGAAAGAGACTTCAAATAAGCAGAGCACTTCTCAAGAAGAAAAACAAAGTGGGAGGTCTCACACTACCAGATCTTAAGAATTACTATATAGCCACAGCAGTTAAAACAGCATGGTATTGGTACTATGATAGATAGATAGACCAATGGAACAGAATCGAAAGTCCAGACATAGACCCATCCATCTATGGATAACTGATCTTTGACAAAGGCTCAAAGCCCACTAAATGGGGAAGAGACAGCCTCTTTAACAAATGGTGCTGGCAAAACTGGATATCCACCTGTAGAAAAATGAAACAAGACCCATATCTCACCCCATACACAAAAACAAACTCAAGCTGGATCAAAGA